ATAGTCATATTCGTTATGTAAATCAGTGTATCAGGATTGCGACATTTTGTTCCTAGGCGTACTTTGACAGTATCCATTATCATACAAAACGTGGATAAAACCACACAGGTGTGGTGAAGCAATATAAGGTTAGCCTATTAAGAAGCATATTGTATTCACAGAAAATAGCAGTTCGTGCTTTTTTTCATTTAGAGAGTGAATATTACTCATACAGCTCAACTACTTTTACGTTTGATCTGTTTAATAGAAGTTTGTCTCATATGTTGATATATAGTGTATAGAGTATATATAGAGAGAGTATAGTTATTCCACAAGGCAAACAGAAGGTTAACAATTACGTCTGCCAAAATTTAGAAAGACACATGGTCGATTTCCATCGTCTCTTGTGGTTAGTTACTTGATTACCTATTAATGTTAGATTATGTTACAACACATTTGTTGAACAAATCATGAATCGAAAATCCATGCAAATAGTCTGTATGTGTACAACAATTATATATAGTATTTTGTAAGACATTGTTAAAGTTATATATTTGTATAGTATTGATTGCAATAGTACATTAATTTCTTTGTTTTTGTTTAGTTTTCTGAAAGTTACTTGTACAAAATACATTGTTGAGCTGTGCATAAGGCGTTAGGGTCGACTAGCACATATGCTATTATCCGCCCAATTTACCAACCAATATTCTCTCTTATTGTACATATAAATATCGTTGTATGAAATAAATGGTTCTTATTTGCTGTTCGTAAATAAATCTATCAAATACAAAAATCTAATAAAAATAATAAACATTGGCAGGATTGTAACCAGAAAAAAGATGTACATGTATATGGAAATGTATTAACATCAACTCAAATCACATAAAATTAAATGAATTCAACATTTGAAAGTATCTAGAAGGAACCAGAGGTGTTAAATTGCATATTTTGTTTAAGGATCAAGGCAAGACCAGCGATGTTATTGCCTTTCATATGGATTATTCTTTTTAAATGTCATTAAGAAACAAAATATATATATGAGAGAGACAAAAATCTTATAAAGAAGACAACTAAGGAAGGAAGAAATCTGCCAAATTAAAGGGCATCCCTCATAAAAAACTGAACATCATTACGTTTTTCGTACTGAGATCCTTCTCATTCTAACGTTTATTACAAAGGAGTTCGTCTTTTATGTTACCTTTATTCGACGTTTATTCTTCGTCATACTTATCAAACTGTTTGTGTATACTTTATGTACATATATATTTTTAATTGCATTGGATTAATTTAACTTTCATGTATATCATGATGATATTCGTTATAGATAGGTATGATATAGGCGCTCCTTTGTTATCAGTTCATTAATTTTGTGTGAAAGTAGAAAAATAAGAAACTCATGATTGCAAACGTTTGAATAAATCTGTCAAATAATAAAGCAGTTATGAATGTTTGAAAAATGATATCTCTAAATCTATATGCGAATCTCAAATTGGCAATTGGGTCAATGGATTGTGATGTATTCGTGGACAATTCTTTCGTTTGTTGTGTACACAAATATCAATATTTTCTGTTTTTCTCCTTAGTGCCTTCTTCCATGGGGCACTCCTACATACAATGTATTGGATAGCATATTATATTATATATTTTATATGATTTGTGTTTTTATTTGTGTTTGAAATAAATTGAATCGAATTAAATTGAATATATTGTGAGAATCTCAGTTTGAAAAGAAATTACATATTTGCACACCCAATGACGTTAGAATACTAGTCATTCAAAAAGGGCATTGACTGGAACGCGGTTCTATACAGAGTGAGTCAGAAAAAATGTCCCACTTTTCAAAAGTTGTAATGTTTGAAGTCTGAATATTTAATCATGGGTTTCATGATATGTCTTGATAGAGTTATCCTCCTAGTACATTTAGGTACTATTTTCATTTGAATCTCTGCATGCATGACTAAACATCAGACAATCTTTACAAGACTGCCAGATCTCACTTGCGCCAAGTTACTGGGGGTGAGGAATAAAACAGTGCATTGAACAAAGACAGTCAGACAGACAGACATACACACACGCACACACACACGCACACACACGCACACACACATGAATTCACACATACACGAACACATGCATACACAGCACACACCATGACAATTGTTTCATAATATCCCCTTTTCTGATTAAGCAATGATTTTATCAAGATCGCTGAATGTTTAAGTGGCATAAACCCCTTTAGTACACATTCAATACCACTATTGTGTCATCATCATCATCATTGTCATCATCTTAATCTTCATCATTATCATCATCATGAAGCACAACATTCGCCAATACGCACCAAGAGGACAGCGGCCACTCAACTTTTCGTACGAGAAGAAGAATTCCCGACAAAAAGTAACAGTTTGGGTTGGCCTTGTCGGGAATGGAACGCTCATTTGTGTGCGTGTGCCTGTGCGTGTGTGTGTGTCTGTCTGGCAGTCTTGGTTCAAAACACTTTTTTTATTCCTCACCTAGCTACTTGGCGCAAGTGAGATCTGGCAGTCCTGTAAAGAATGTCTGATGTTCAGTCATGCATGCAGAGATTCAAATGAAAATGGTACCTAAATGTACTGGGAGGATAACTCTATCAAGACATATCATGAAACCCATGATTAAATAATCATACTTCAAACAATACAACTTTAACAAGTGGGACATTTTTTTCTGACTCACTCTGTAGAGCTCGCAATGCTTCATCAGTCAAGGGTTTCATACACAAATAATTTTGGCAGAAAGAGAATAAATTGCTGAGATTATTACATGTATCATCCGTGTGTGTATTTGACAACAAAGTGAACGCTAATCGGTATACGCTCTTAGAATTAAATTGCATGTAGGTAACTGCTAGTTGTTTTTAGAGAATTACCCGATTCTTGGCAATGATTTTAAAAATTCAGCGCCACAGGGTTTTGAACATTCTAGGGGCAATATATATTTTATACCATAAAGCAATACACGTTTGGGTGATATTCTGAAAACTTCAGACTTTCAGAATACTGAATAAGAGGTATGTTAAGGGTATTTCAACACACAAAAGAACCTTCAGCAACGGCCTTCTCGGAGCCAGTACTCCAGTTTGTATACAATTTGATATGGGCAGACTTAGGTTATTTTGTACAGAAGTTAGAATATCTGTGGATGTTTGAGGTGATTTGAACCATGTGCTAATTACGAACTGGTCTACACATTATTCTACACAGACCGATTTAATTGTTGATGTTTATGTGTGACCAATCCTCTCTAACCTTATATCTCAATCATATAAATGAGACCGATACCAGACTACTCATCACGAAAAAATATCCTCCTATTATACTTTTCTCATTCCCCCTACCCGTATTATCCAAATCTCTTTTCAAATTCATCAAAAACTCTAGCATTTTAAACACCTTTCCTCGTACTGGAAAATATACATTTGCAATGTATCATAATTTCTAAATCCTGTTAAATATCTTTCATTGGAATGTATCTTCCAATTTGATCTGAAACTAAAGAAAGAACCTTCAAATCTAAATGTGAATTAATCAACCCAAGAACACCTATTCTGTGTAAAGTACCAGGACTTAAATGACAACTTCCATCCCACATTAAACTCCATATATTTCTTACAACATAATATCTGCATATTTATCTTTGCACTCAGAAAATATCAGGGATCATTTGTTCTTTTCCCTGATTCCTTTTTCCTTTAAGGAAAGAAAAGTATAAGAAAGGATAGATTGTTAAAATCCATCACTATAACAATACAAAATTCGGAACACTTCTCTTTGGAGGACAGTGACATCACAATCACGAACCAAAATATTGTCTGCTGAATGGAACAAAAAAATAAAGGTGATATTTAAGTATTTATAGTCTCCAGAAGAAAATCCATGAAGAAAATTGAAGTGAACCATGTTTTTGTAATACTACGACAAATCAAATACAAATACCAGACCAGACCAGACCAGAAAACCGATTATATTATCCACAGAGGCCAAACAAAATAGGTCAGTTTGACCTTTTTGGAGTCGGTGCGAAGTCGGTTTGCCAGTGTGACTGAGGGACCGATTCTCGGCGAGTTGGAGCAATGTAATTGTGTCTCCGGTCTGTTGTCGGTCTTGTATCTTCTGTCAGTTGAACTACCCGTGAATCGAAATTTCTCTATTTCATATGTAAAACTTATTTTAAAGAGCGAAGATGTTAGTTCATCCTCTTTTTACTAAAAGATTTCTGAGAATGTATTCAATATGAGAATTATGAAAGTTATGCATTTTGACCAAAGTATGAAGTGCATATGTACATGGAGAGAGGCGAATAATTGGCACTTCGTTAGCATCTTTTAATGCTTAATTGGTGGCGATACACTATCAAATTTGGACATAAATTCTAGAGAAATGAAGCGAGTACTCTACATCAGCAGTTTACAGCATTACATAATGTTAATGAAAAGCGATAGTAGAGATCGTATTCCTTTTCCTTTCTCTGTCCCTTTTATCTTTCTCTCTTTTCCCTGTTTTCTCTCATATTTCTTAGTATTCGATGTGTCTGAGTGTGTGTGTTTGTGTGCGTGGGGAGGGGGGGGGGGCAGGTCAACCTAGCATTGGTTATGGATGAGTCGTAATGAAATATTGATCCGCCATGTTCTTTTTCTATCGCGCAGATCTAAAACCAGGTTTATTTCAGCCCCCCCCCCAATAAACATCAAATAAAGAGAAATTGCAAGGCAATAGAACTGTCTTGTTGCAGAACGCAGTAGAGTAATGTAGGCAGACTTCTAAAGCCGAATACAGAACTGAATGCAAAGTCCAATTTATGTATTGCTTTCATATAATCACGCTTGAGCGTTCCTTCAGAATAGACCAAATATCATCGCTACTAAAGGGTACGGGCTAATTTACACAGTAGTTTAATGTCACATTACAATAAGTAACATGGTGTTTGGAGAGCACGGTAATATCATAGAGAGAAAAACGTTGTGGGTGTGAATTACGTTAAACATGGCGCTCTTTTCAGCAGCAGCAAAAGGAGACTTCCTGAAGATACAATCATTAATCGACTCGGAAGACAAGTCAGAGGATTCGGGAGGAGTTGATGTAAACTGCAAGAATGCATCTGGCAAAACACCCCTTCACATTGCTTCGGAAAACGGACATTTGCAAACGGTTAAATGCCTCACCCACCATGGAGCAAAAGTGAATGTGATCGATGCTAACCTACAAACATCGGTTCATTTATGCTCGAAGAAAGGCCATCTTCATGTGGTACAGATGTTAGTGAACGAAGGAGCAGATATTGAAATTGGTGACAAAGATGGGTTTACAGCTCTTCACGTAGCATCATTGAATGGTCATATTGATGTTGTCAAATACCTTGTTACTAAAGGGGCAGAGCTGGAGAGACTTGCTGATGATTACTGGACACCTCTACACCTTGCTTTAGACAGTGGCCATCTTGATATTGCAGATTACCTTTTGACAGAAGGAGCCAACATTAACACATGTGGTAAAGATGGATATTCAGCTCTACATACTGCATCACAAACTGGTGATATTGATGTAGTGAAATATCTAACCAGTCAAGGAGCAGAGCTGGATAGGAGCACTGACGATGGTTGGACCGCACTTACTTTGGCTTCATTTGGCGGACGCCTTGACATTGTCAAATACCTTGTTAGTAAAGGGTCTCAACTTGACAAATGTGACAAAGCCGACAGGACCCCCTTGTATTGTGCTTCTCAAGAAGGCCATTTTGAAGTCGTCCAGTATATCGTGAACAAGGGAGCAGGCATTGAAATTGGTGATAAAGATGGGTATACAGCTCTTCACATTGCATCCTTCAAGGGTCATCTTGATATTGTCAAATACCTTGTTAGGAAAGGGGCACAGCTTAACAAATGTAACAAAAACGACAGGACACCCTTGTCTTGTGCTTCCCAAAAAGGCCATCTTGAAGTCGTCGAGTTTCTTGTGAACGAAGGAGCATGCATTGAAATTGGTAATAAAGATGGGGTTACAGCTCTCCACAGAGCATCATTCAATGGTCATCTTCATATTGTCAAATACCTTGTTAGTAAAGGTGCAGACCCGGGGAAACTTGCTAATGAAGAGGACCACTATGACTACCTTCGCAGTACGTTCGGTAGTAAGGCTCTCCCTAGCTTAATGCCCCGCCCATACTCCCCAACATACGATCCATATCTTACCAGTAAACAAGACAGCTCTAGCTCCTCGAGGAAGAGTATCACAGAAGAGACAAAGATTATAAGTCTGGACGAGTACAGCATCAAGGTTCCAATTTCACCAGACGATGTGGACAGAGCCAAATATATCACAGCAGAAGCATTGACAACCATTCCACATGACTTAAAGCTGGAAAAAGACGAAGTTATTATCTCAGTTGGGCTCAAGCTATCCCCTCCTGGTCTTCAGTTTAAAACTCCGGTGGAAGTCACGGTCTCACATAGCGCTATTTTCTCCAACCCAGACAAGGCAGAAATTGTGCTATACACCCGAAGGACTGGTAAGATCTTCCTATTACCATAGATCCTATATTTCCATATTAATTCCTTTCTCTTATTGTGACAGTGCAGAGAGCCCTTGACTGCCACGACGAACCCATCACAATTATGACAGAGATCTTCACACAAAATTAATCCTTCCCTACTATTCTTGTAATCATATGACCTTACTTCAATGATGATATTCCTTTCAGAATGTTCGTATTCACTTAGTTTTACTTGATAAACTTCTATTAGGATAGAAATTCACTTTATTATTTTTCTTCAGTCTTTGTGTTTGAATAACTTGTGGTAAGATCGTGGTAAATTGTGTAAATTAAACAAACAAAGATTAGGAATGATCTAATACATGAAATTGTTTGTTAATAGCCAATCACCAAACAGCAGTTGACATTTTTAACGACATTGCTCATAAATAAACAATGACCCTCAAACAAAGCTTCCCAGTCAATCTGCGAACCTTTACACAAAATACTTTCCTTTCTTTGTTATACTAAATCCCTGAGCGTTGACAGTTCACCGCGTTACAAAATTAACACGGTCCCCTATTTGTTGTTGTTGTCGACAGAGTCTGATGAATTTTCAAGGATAGTTCCTGCTTCTGACAAAGCTGCTCGGTGTGTAGTCACAAAGAATCACCTTACTCTGTACTTAGATCATTTCTCGGAATGGTGGATTATCTCCTTAATCAAGAGATACTTCATCGGTAAACGACTCATCTGTACGCCATACGTTCCCGTGTCAATATCCAGAGACGTCATGAACCCCATCTTGCTCGTCATTAAAGACGACTTCTACGGCATGAAAGAGGTAATTTTGTAACGGATTAACAGTCCGGTATATTTCTGGTCCATGTTATGTGTAATGATCTTTTTTCCTTCTCATTTCGTCACGAAACTTTCCAATCTTGCACATCTCATAGTCAATTTCGTATTTGGTCATTCATTTTCAGACTTTGTCCAATCGATTTCATCATTTTGCATCTAACTTCGTCAAAGTCAAATCAAGTTCATCATCCTTGGCTGCTAACGTACAATGCATGAAACAATTTTTTCAGTTTGCAACCAATTTCGTTAGAGCATCATTCAAATACCTTATCCTACCCCCGGACAATTACCCCATAGGATAGTTGTCCGGGAGGTAGTTGTCCTAGAGGGTTGGTTTCCCTAGGGGGTAGTTGTCCTAGGGGTAGTTGTCCCAGGGGGTAGGTGTCCCAGAACCTCTTGCATTTGCTGGAGGTTCTTGCAGTGCCCTCTGGAAGAACAGCATTATCTCAAAGTTTTCTTATCATAATCTATTTTTAGTCTCCCCCTCCCCCAATTATTATCACTATTATTTTGTTCAATATTGATTCATATGTTCAATCTTTTGCAGGATATTATACAAGAGTACAAGGCAGCCTATCCTGGTGAGCAGTACTGTGTATATTGGAGACAAGGACCCCTACTTGTCAGACATCTGGAAAACGAAGCCGAAGTGTCAACACAGGTAAGAATCTCAATATAATTGATACTATTGTTTCCCCCGAAATAAATTATCCTGACAAACAAATCGTCCGTTTCTTAGACAGCAGGGCGTAATATATATGTTGTCACATTACCAAAGACACGGGCTAGAGCTTTCTTAAAGCGACACTGAACTGATGAACGTTCTGCCTAAGCGTTCTGTTCAGAGCCATCTTTTCACATATATAGATGGCTCTGGTTCTGTTCATTGCACAGCGCCATCTCATGGTCAATTTGCCAACATTGTGTAATCCAATACCTTGTTTCCGCTTCGCAGACAGAGGGCTGGACGCGATATCATTTCAGCGAGTTACGGGCACCGAACTGTAAAATACGTATTTCACTCTTTTTTGGTTACGGGACCATACTGCTACAGCTGACCCCAGATAGCGCTAGATGGGATTTTGTGGTAATGCTTTTAGTACACTGTGGCTTCCATTAACACGTTAGGCGGACCAATGCATGAAATTACTTTGCAGGATAAATTTTATCAGCAAAGCTGTTTTTATCATGGTCCTGATTGAAATACAATGAGACTATGTATGCAATAAATCACATTTAATAGGTAGACCAAACAAAAATCATGATACCAAGTTAAGGGAAGTGTATCATGGGAAATACTGCAAAATGCCATCTACGTCTTTTTTGGACAACTGCACGTGAATGCTGCGTTCGCGTCGTCCGTAATCGTATTAGGCGATTTGCCCCGAGTAGGGCCACGGGAAAGACACACAGTCTCGTTATGACACACTCCCTTTAAGCCAAGTAGCCTGCTCAGCGGCCGGGCAGCGGATTTTTCCCAAACATACAGGTTTGTATTTCCGGTCTTCTGATTGACTGATATGTTTTATTTTTACGTCATTAGCAGCTTGTAAAGATAGTTTACAAACAATTAGACTTTGATTATTTATAAAGGGAAAATATGACGAAATCATTACTAGGATTCGAACCCACAACTTTAATATTGTAGATAAAGACGTAAAATATATCAGCAAATCAGAAGACCGGAAATATTAGTAATAGCAAACGTGTTTAAAAGGGAAAAAATTGCGGCCGTATCCTAATGCACCAGCACGGCGGGGCGATCGAACATAAAAACATAGCGCTCCCTAGTTGACCTCCGAGCAACTTTGTGGTTCCTGGTCCAAACGGCGCAAATCTGCTGCGAAGAGACAAGGCCTTCATTTCATTTCGAGTTGATAAACGCGACAAGCCGCAATTACGTTTGTATACTGTGTTTATATACACTGTTGGTCATGAAGGTGGAATGATTTCGACAATTATTTATTCCTAAAAGATCTAGATAATAGCATACATTCTCGTGTGTTATTGAATAATAATTGGCGAGTGCTTGTTTGCGTGACTGCTAAAACATGTGTATGGTACTACTATTATCAACCAGGGGACCTACGTCCTTAAGTCATGTCCTTAAGTTAACTGACATTAATGAGGATTAATGTCTCATAAAAGGGCACTAATATAGTACATCGACACGGTTTTGATCCTGGGGCCTCACAGTTACGAGGCCATTGCTTTGCCACTAAATCACTACTGTACGCAGCGGGGGCTAGGGAAGGGGGCAGCCCCCACAAATAAAAACAAAACAAAGAAAATGCAATAAATCATCAATAATTTATTGCATTTTCCCCCGGTCCCCAACAGGAAAATTCCTGTGTGTGGCCATGCCTTGAACCATAATGCTTTTTTCCTGTTAGGGACCGGGGAAAATGCAATGAATTAACGAGAATTGATTGCATTTTGGGGTTTTGTTTTTGTGTGGGCTGCCCCTTTGTGTGGACTGCGTACAGTCATGATTCAGTGGCAAAGCAATGGCCTCGTAACCGTGGATCAAAAACCGTGGATCAAAACCGTGTCGATCAGCTATATTAGTGCCCTTTTGGGAGGCATTTATCCTCATTACCGTCAGTTATGACTTAAGGACATGAGAATGTATACTATTATCTACATCTAATAGGAATAAATGTCAAAATTATTCCACAAATTGGGTTAAAAAGTAATATTCCACCTTCATGACCACAGTGTATATGTATGTAAACGCTGTTTCTGTGTTGAAGCGCTTATACGTGGTCTTGATGAGGTTACTTGGTTCTCGTTACAATATTATTTTAGAAAAAAATATTCAAGCATGGGCCATAGGGGTTAGGCTCGACTAGCACATGTGCTATTATCTGGCCCCTTTTACCAACCAATAGTTTCTTTTCTTGTATATGTAAATTATTGTATGAAATGTATTGCTGTTGGTAAATAAATCAAATCAATCAATTGAATTCATGGTATCACTTTTAAATTAGCATGTACCATGACACAATTTCTGTAACTTCGTAGGATGTTAATTGATGGTTATCTCTGATTTTCCTAGGAACTTGAAGTACGTGCTTTCTTTGACATGACGACCAATCGGATGCCGTTCGCTCTTCAGCCACGTGAACAAATGGTATCCGGAGTTCTTGTCACGCTCATCTTGAAGCAAACAATCACGAAGCGTATCGCCTTCCAAGTACTGTACAACGGTAATATCAAGGGCATGACTTCCCTTTTTGTTGGGGGGGGGGGGGGGGGGGGGGTTGCAACCATGTTCCATTAGTCTGCCTTATTCAATATATATTTATATAAATTATGTCATATATATGTATATTGTGTTTACGTGCAGTGCTATACAGTTCATTTAGTGTAGCAAAAGTACCATGGCAAGTGACTCCAATTTGGAATAGTTATTTTATGCTAATCGTTTCTCATCACGTTGATATCATGTATTCACAATTCAGATGTGCCGCATGAGAATCCAATTGCCAAATCAACTCCGACAGGAACTGCATCTTCCAAAGGCAAAGCTGAACCAACTGATGTTGGACGGGGAACATCCAAATGTAAGATTTAAAAAATATATATTAATATTATTTTTCCTTTTGATGTGCAGGGCATCGTTTTACAAAACCTTCGTTGGTACAAGTGAAAAATGTAGTGTATAAAATTAACACGTTTTAAAAGGGATGTCGGCGAGCTTGTTGCATATGAAAAAATCTCCTCACTGTAAAGAGACGATTTGAACTAAATCGAAAAAATAACATTATATTTGTGCTATTCTGATTCGATTCTGATTTGATTTTGATTGAACATTGCATTTTCAGCACATCAGCTCCACGAAGAGCAGACAAGAAGCGAGCATCATCTTGAAACGATAGGTTCAACATCACCTCAGCCTGCAGACACAAAGGGTAAGACTATATGTCCTGTCAGGAACGGTTCTGGAGGAATACATGTATAAATATTAAGTTATTTTTTGGAGGGCGCAGGGGATGGGGTCTTCTAGCAATCATTTATACATGTATTTTTGAGGGGGGGGGGGGGGGCTATAGAACCGCTACTGCGGCCTATATTCTTGTAATTGGCCTTTGCTTTAAATATCCTGTAATGTATTATCAATGTTTTTCTAAACCGTATAATATTTACTCTTTCAATTGAACAATATTCGCTACATGTTCCATGATTTTATCTCAATCATGTCACTAAACCAAATGAATACAATATAATTCAAGGGTCAACATGCGAAAGATAACGGATCAGTCAGAGTTCTTTACAGCACTGCATGGTCGGAGTCTGGTTTAATCGTTTTCTAAAACTTTTGTTTACGTTGCTTTATTTCAGACGGAAGTAGTCATACTGATGTCTTTACAAGACCTAGGCCGTTGATTCCACCATCGATAGAGTCACCGCCATGTGAACATGCCTACCAAGTAACAGAGACAGGAGCTATTGGTGAGGAGCTGAAAGGTAAGTCGTGTTCTTGGCTCTGCAACAAAAAAGTCAATTGTATCTCCCAAAAATTAATCTTATCTCCTCAATCAATCGAAACTTTTAGATAAATAGTTACTGATATAACGAAACCCTTTGGCAAAACATTAATCTATATATGCTACACTAAACCAATGTGTAATAAGTGGGTATGGTACCTGAAACGGTTGCTAGAACATAACCGGGGTAATACTATTTAAAGGGATACTTGAGTTATGTTTTCAGACCGCAGATGCTTTCAATGTGCATCGTTGTTGCTCTTATTCTTATGACATTTCTAGTGCCCTTTTAGAACCTTAAATTGCTATGAAGGTAATTTTAGACCCCAAAATGTGTGAAATTTAGCCAATAATATCATACCAATTCAGCTCCACTTTCAAACAAATACGGTCACCGTTAATTAATTATTTAATTTAACGAAAACATTAATGGGCCGGCTGGTTGTGCGTTATATGACCAACACGAAAATGCCAACAAAACAGCCAACATCGGCATTGGCTGTAATACGACGTAAAAGGTGCTATTTCGTTTTTTCAACGGCTTTTTCAAATTATCTAATATTTGTGGTGGCCACACAAATATTAGAAATCGTTATATTTATGAATATTTCAGCAGTCTCTGAACCGAATTTGATCGAACAAAGATGATTTTGTCATTTAAATTGTATTTTCTTTCAAATTTGACACTCAGTTTTTCATTATCTCACAACAAAATTATTTTGTGTAGCGCCATCTGCAACAGAACTCCCTTTAAAGTCCTTTAGAAGAGCATATTGTGATATCCGCTTAATATTTCCTTTACATACTCTTTGGAAATTTGAAATATGTAATTGCTTTACGTCATATCATCTTTGTGTTCGTTTTGTTTTAAGCTCCGACATCATCGACAGTGCCCGTCCATCCGGTAGAGCCTGCAGCAAAGAGGACAATGGGAGCCCCACCAGCAATTGTGGCAAACATTGTCCAAGAATTGGTTCCAGGACTTTCAGCAGATCGAAATATGCACCAGCGTCCTGGAAACGTCTATATCAACGTCAACAATATCAAAGTCATCAATAATTCCCAAGTGAATAATCCTCAAAGAAATACTGTTGCCCCTGTTCCAATTGTATCCATAGTACCTCCTATGCTACAGCATGAGCTGCGTTGCCGGTTGAACAGAGAAAGCCCAGTTTTTGATGACTGGAGGGGTCTTGCCAATCAGCTTGAACTTCAAGACTACATACAATCACTGGAGCAGTGCAAGAATCCGACTGAAGAACTACTCGTACTTGCAGAGAGTCAAAAGAAGATTCAGGACCTTGGGGACTTGTGTAAGGCGTTCGAACGTATGAATCGTGGAGATTGCCAAGAGCTCTGTGAAAAATATGCGTTTGAGAGAACAAAGTCAGCTGATCCTCGGAAGGATCAAATGGAAGATGATGACACGGAAACCAGTGATTAGGGAACAAACTCAATCTGTTCCATATCACCCTTAAATCCAGGGTCTATTGCTCGTTATTCATACAACCTATGAACATAGCCCTATATGGTTGTTGTAATCTACCAACTACCTGTCATTTGGTTTTAACAAACCAAATCATTAGATTTGCTCGAAACATAATAATTAAAGGTATAATATAAGGTCCGTATTCTCCTAATTCAGTTAAGTCTTATCCAGGGTCTAAAATCATGTTTGAAAGAAAACTGAGATCTTAGCCCAATTTTCTTTTTTAGACCACTTTTTTGACAAAAGTTTAAATCCAGCGTCGGGTTGAAATATTAGAACAATTCAGGCCTATAAAATTGACCAAATATATGTTTGTTGGGTAAATTATTACCACCCAATATTGCCAAAACCTTAGTCAATTATAAGTACATTATTATGATACTTATTATTATACAGATTATTGTGATACTTGGCACTTAACTGTTAATGCCAGCAAAACGAAAATTGTTGTTTTTTCACGTGTGAAAGTTAGAAGAATTCCAGAATTCGTTGATGATGGTGGTGTACTGGAAGTTGTTTATGACTTTGTATATTTAGGAGTGACGTTTAATTATAATGGTAACTTTAAAAAAGCAATTGCTAAACAGGTCACACAAGCTCGAAAGGCAATGTATAGTATGTTAGTAAAGGCAAAAGGTTGCATTTATCTGTTGATACACACTGTCATTTATTTGATCACTTAGTTTTGCCAATTCTATTATATGGTGCTGAGGTCTGGGGCTATGAGTGTATAGATCAACTTGAAGTTTTCCAAAGAATTTGTTTAAGAACGATATTGTTTGTAAATAAGTGCACACCTGACTGCATTGTTTATGGTGAAACTGGACGTGGTAAAATACTCGATAAAATTAAGTGTAGAATGATTGAATATTGGGTAAGACTAGATAAAGGGAAGCAATCAAAGTATTCATTGATTCTCTTTAAGTTTCTGTTGCAGTTGTAAAGTGAAGGACAAAGTTGAGTTAATATAAAGTCACAATGGGTTGAGTTTCTTGCAAACAGTTTTGACTATGCAGGACTTGGAAACGTCTGGCGAGCTCAAGGAGAAGGATATAGTGCTGCCTGGATTATGAATACTATGAAAACCAGGCTTTCTGACATGTCTATTCAGGAATGGAGCGCAGCTACCTGGTCAAATCGTATTTGCACGAACTATAGGATGTTTAAGAATGAGTTGGTTTGTGAAAAATACCTGCAGATATTATGTCAGAAGGAAGCAATAATTTTAAGTAAATTTAGATGCAGAACACATAGATTACCAGTGAATAAAGGTAGATTTGATGCAAATGTCGTAGATGATGTGCAATGCTCACTCTGTACACCAACATATATTGGTGATGAATTGCATTACATTTTTGTATGTCCATTCTTTCAAAATAAGAGAAATATCTATATACCAAATAACTTGTGTGGTAGTAGCTTAAGACCAAGTGCATTGCACATGGATAGGTTTGTAATACAGCTCACGCTTGCCAGCTGAAGAAATTAGCAAATTTTTGTAGAATCATTATGTCATATTTTTCAACAGAGTCAAGGGTAGATGGTAATACTGTAAATGATAACTCACAAATAAACAATGTTGTTGGGCACACTCATAGTGGTAGGAGGGTGAATTGCCCAGTTCGCCTCGATTTGTAAATATGTTCATTTGTTCATATTATCACATGTTTATCATTGTTCATATTATCACATGTTTATTATTGTTCACATTATCACATGTTTATCACTGTTCATATTATCACATGTTTTTCTTTGTTCATATTATCTTATTATGTTATCAATTTTCATGTTATCACATGTTCATCATTGTTATACTATTGTTATATTGATACTATGTTGTAAATATGTTTGTACTCTCATACCCCGAGAGGGGGTCGATAGAGTCAATAAAATCTTACAATCAATCAAAGTACATTATACCCATTAGTGAGGAAACGTTTACCCTCTTGTAATATGCTTCGCTGCATCAATATTATTTACTTGCTTGCTTTTACAGGTTCGAAGAAGTGAGATTCACTCTAGGCATATTCATCGATTTCATGAAAGCAATTTTGACACCATTAATCTAAATATACTACTAGCAAAACTCTCTAATCACGGCAATCGAGTTCTTTTTTATGGTTTAAGGACTATCTTAGTAACAGATCTAGATTGTTCAACGTGGTTAAACGTTATCCATAAGATATAAGATAAGATGTGGTGTTCCACAAGGATCGTTACTAGGGCCAACTCTGTTTTTATCTATATAATTGATCTGCACTCATTAACTGATTACTTCAATTTGCGGCTGTTTGCCGAATATTCTAATATAATTCATTCTTTTCCAGCTCACCAGGGCAAAATTAATGAGGATGAAGTAATGAACAACACACAGAAAAATTGTTGCATTGCTAAAAAAAAAAACTCAATTCAATGAAACCGTATTCCATTTTGATAAGTAGAAAGAGGTATTAAATCGTCGCTGTTTTCACGAAGTGACGGTAGTGAAAAAAAATTGCATTCACTTTGCGTTACGATTTTCCTCACTACCGTCACTTCGTGAAAACAAGGACGAAATGGTAAACTGGACGTAGCTGGAGAGGAAATCCAAGCGGTTGATGTTACCACTTATGATAGAAATCTGCCATGGAATAGTCATATTCGTTATGTAAATCAGTGTATCAGGTTTGCGATATTTTGTTCCTAGGCGTACTTTGACATTATCCATTATCAAATTAAACGTGGATAAAACCACACAGGTGTGGTGAAGCAACATAAGGTTATTAGCCTATTAAGAAGCATATTGTATTCACAGAAAATAGCAGTTCGTGCTTTTTTCATTTAGAGATAAAATTACTCATACAGCTCAACTACTTTCATGTTTGATCTGTTTAATAAAAGTTTGTCTCATATGTTGATATATAGTGTATAGAGTATATATAGAGTAAAGTTACTCCACAAGGCAAACAGAAGGTCAACAATTACGTCTGCCAAAATGTGGAACGACACATGGTCGATTTCCATTGTCTCTTGTGGTTAGTTACTTGATTACCTATTAATGTCAGATTCTGTTACAACACATTAGTTGAACAAATCATGAATCAAAAATCCATGCAAATAGTCTGTATGTGTACAACAATTATATATAGTATTTTGTAAGACATTGTTAAATTTATATATTTTTATAGTTTTGATTGCATTAGTACATTAATTTCTTTGTTTTTGTTTTGTTTTCTGAGAGTTACTTGTACAAAATACATTGTTAAGCTGTGCATAAGGCGTCAGGGTCGACTAGCACATATGCTATTATCCGCCCAATCTACCAACAAATATTTTCTCTTCTTGTACATATAAATATCGTTGTATGAAACAAATGGTACTTATTTGCTTTTCGTTAATGAATATATCAAATACAAAAATCTAATAAAAATAATAAACATTGACAGGAATGTAACCAGAAAAGGGATGTACATGTATATGGAAGTAAATTAACATCAACTCAAATCAAATAAAATGAAATGAATTCAACATTTGAAAGTATAAAGGAACCACAGGTGTTAAATTGAATATTTTGTTTAAGATAATGAAAACAATAAGCTCCTGTGGCCAGGAGCAAGGCAAGACCAGCGATTTGTATTGCGTTTCATATGCGAGTATCCTTTTTTTTTAATGTCATTAAAAAACAAAATATATATATGAGAGAGACAAAATCTTTATAAAGAAGACAACCTAGGAAGGAAGAAATCTGCCAAATTAAAGGGATCCTTCATAAACAACTGAACATTGTTACGTTTTGCGTATCTCCTGAGAATATCAAACTGTTTATGTAAACTTTATGTACATATATATATATTTAATTGCAATGGATTCATTGAACTGTTATGTATATCATGATGATATTCGTTATACATAGGTATGATAGGCGCTCCTTTGTTATATATAAGTTCATTAATTTTGTGTGAAAGCAGAAAAATAAGAAACTCATGATTGCAAACGTTTGAATAAATCGGTCAAATAATAAAGCAGTTATGAATGTTTGAAAATGATATCTCTAAATCTATATGCGAATCTCAAATATTCGTGACTGTATTCGTGGACAATTCTTTCGTTTTTTATGTACAAAAAATATCAGTATTTTCTGTTTTTTCTCCTTAGTGCCTTCTTCCATAGGGCACTCATACATACAATGTATTATGGATAGCATATTATATTATATATTTTATATGATATGTGTTTTTATTTGTGTTTGAAATAAACTGAATCGAATTAAATTGATTATATTGTGAGAATCTCAGTTTGAAAAGAAATTACATATTTGCACACCCAATGACGTTAGAATACCAGTCATTCAAAAAGGGCATTGACTGGAACGCGGTCCTATACAGAGTGAGTCAGAAAAAATGTCCCGCTTTTTAAAAGTTGTAATGTTTGAAGTATGAATATTTAATCATGGGTTTCATGATATGCCTCCTAGTACATTTAGGTACCATTTTCATTTGAATCTCTGCATGCATGACTGAACATCGGACAATCTTTACAATACTGCCAGATCTTACTTGCGCCAAGTTACTGGGTGAGGAATAAAACAGTGCATTGAATAAAGACAGTCAGACAGACACAGACATACCTGGACACAGACACACACACACGCGCAAAAACACACGCACACGCACACACATCACACACCGTGACAAATGTTTCATAATTTCCCCTTTTCTGATTAACCAATGATTTTTTATCAAGATCGCTGAATGTTTAAGTGGCATAACCCTGACAATATTTCACTTTAGTACACATTCACTAGCATCATCATATCATCATCATCATCATCATTGTCATCATCTTAATCGTCACTATCATCATCATTATCATCATCAACATCATCATCATCATCATGAAGTACAACATCCACCAATACGCACCAAGAGGACAGCGGCCACTCAACTTTTCGTACGAGAAGAAGAATTCCCGACAAAAAGTAACAGTTCGGGTGGGCCTTGTCGGGAATGGAACGATCATTTGTGTGCGTGTGCCTGTGCGTGTGTGTGTGTTTGTGGGTGAGTGTGTGCGTGTGTGTGTGTGATTGTCTGGCTGGCAGTCTTTGTTCAAAACACTATTTTATTCCTCACCTAGCTACTTAGCGCAAGTGAGATCTGGCAGTCTTGTAAAGAATGTCTGATGTTCAGTCATGCATGCAGAGATTCAAATAAAAATGGTACATAAATGTACTGGGAGGATAACTCTATCAAGACATATCATAAAATCCACGATTAAATATTCATACTTCAAACAATACAACTTTTAAAAAGTGGGACATTTTTTTCTGACTCACTCTGTAGAGCTCTCAATGCTTCATCAGTTAAGGGTTTCATACACAAATAATTTTGGCAGAAAAAGAATAAATTGCTGAGATTATTACATGTATCATGCGTGTGTGTATTTGACAACAAAGTGAACGCTAATCAGTATACGCTCTTAGAATTAAGTTGCATGTAGGTAGCTTCTGGTTGTTTATAGAGAATTACCCGATCCTTGGCAATGATTTTAAAACTTCAGCGCCACAGGTTTTGACCATTCTAGGGGCAATTTACTTACAACAGATATATATTTCATACCATCAAGCAATACATATTGGGGGTGATATTCTGAAAACTTCAGACTTTCAGAATACTGAATTAGAGGTATGTTAAGGGTATTTTAACCCACAAATGAACCTTCAGCAACGACTTTCTCGGATCCAGTGGTCCAGTTTGTATATACAATTTGACATCGGCAAACCTAGGTTACTTTGTACAAAAGTTAAAATATCTGTGGGTGTTTGAGGTGATTTGAACCATGTGATATTTACGAGCTGGTCTACAAATTATTCTACACAGACCGATTTAATTGTTGATGTTTATGTGTGACCAATCCTTTCTCAACTTATATCTCAATCAAATAAATGAGACCAATACCAGACTAATCATCATAATAAAATATCCTCCTATTATAATGATCTAATTTCCCCTACCCGTATCATCCAAACCTATTTTCAAATTCAGGCAAAAACTCTTACCTCTGTAATCCTTTTCCTCTTGCTGGAAAATAAACATTTGCAATGTATCATACTTTCTAAATCCTGTTGAATATCTTTCATTGGAATGTATCTCCTGATTTGATCTGAAATTACAGAAAGAACCTTCAAATCTAAATGTGAATTAATCAACACAAGAACATCCATATTGTGTAAAGTACTATGACTTAAATAACAACTTCCATCCCACGTTAAACTCCAAGTATTTTCTATATCATAAGTAATATAAGTTTCTTGCAACATAACATCTGCATATTTATCCTTGCACTGAGAAAATATATGGGATCTTTCGTTCTTTTCCCTGATTCCTTTTTTTTCATTTAAGAAAAGGAAAGTACAAGAAAGGGATAGTTTGTCAAAGTCCATCACTATAACAATGATATATTCTGAACATTTTGGAAGACAGTAACACAAAAATCATGAAACATAATATTATTTTCTTAATGGTATACATAAATAAAGGTGATATGTATGTAGTTGCAGTCCACCGAAAAAGATCCTCGAAGAAAAATAGAAGTGAACTTTATTCTTGTAATACGTACTACGACAATTCAAATACAAAGACATCCACACCCAGACCAGACCAGACAACCGATAACATTATCCACAGAGGCCAACAATAAGTCAGTTTGAACTCTTTGGATTCAATGCGAAGTCGGTTTGCCAGTGTGACTGGGGTATTAATTATATCTCGAAAACCGACTTCAAATCGACCGATTCTCAGCGATTCGGGGCAATAGTGTGTTATAGTGTGTCCGGTCTGTTGTTTCTCTGGCATCTTCTGTCAGTTGAACCACACATGAATCAAAATTTGTCTTTTTTATTTTTAGAACTCATTCTCAAGATATAGGATGATAGTCCATTTTTTTTTAGTAAACAAAATTCTGAGAATGTATTCAAAATGAGAATTATGAAAGTAATACATTTTGAGCAAAGTGCATAATATATGTACATGGAGAAAGACGAATGACCAGCACTTTGTTAGCATCTCATAATGCTTATTATTGATGGAGATATACTGACAAATTTGGTTTATATTCTGCCACTTCTAGATCAATGAAGCGAGTACTCTACATCAGCAGGTTACAGAATTACACATGTAGAGTGTTTAAGAAAAGCGATGGTTGAGATTGTATTCATTTATTTTCCTCTGTCCTTTTCATCTTTCTCTCTTTTTCCTGTTTTCTCTCATATTTCTTAGTATTCGATGTGTTTGTTTGTGTGTGTGTTTATGTGCGTGGGGAAGGGGGGGGGGGCACGTCAACCTAGCACTGGTTATGAATGAGGCGTAATGAAATATTGATCCGCCATGTTCTTTTTCTTTCGCGCAAAATTAATCTGAAACCAGGTATAGTTCAGGCCAAAAGAAATACAGAGAAATTGCAAGGCAATAGGACTGTGTTGTTGCAATACGCAGCATAGTAATGTAGGCAGACCTCTACAGCTGAATACGGATCTGAATGCAAAGTTCAATTTATGTAATGCTTTCATATAATCACGCTTGAGTGTTCCTTCAGAAAAGACCAAATATCATCGGTACTACAGGGTACAGGCTAATTTAAACAGTAGTTCAATGTTACATTACAATAAGAAACATGATGTTTTGAGAGCACGGTGATATATTATCATCAAGAGAAAAACGTTGTGGGTGTGAATAATTGCGTTAAACATGGCGCTGTTTTCAGCAGCAGCAAAAGGAGACTTCCTGAAGATACAATCATTAATCGACTCGGAGGACAAGTCAGAGGATTCGGGAGGAGTTGATGTAAACTGCTCGGATAAGTCTGGCCAGACACTCCTTCACATTGCTTCGGAAAACGGACATTTGCAAACGGTTAAATGCCTTACCCATCATGGAGCAAAAGTGAATGTAGTCGATGCTAACCTACAGACATCGGTTCACTTATGCTCAATGAAAGGCCATCTTCATGTGGTAGAGCTGTTAGCGAACGAAGGAGCAGATCTTGATGTTGGTGACAAAGATGGGTTTACAGCTCTTCACATAGCATCAGTCGAAGGTCATGTTGACATTGTCAAATACCTTGTTAATAAAGGGGCAGACCTAGGGAGAATTGCTAATGATTACTGGACCCCTCTACACCTTGCTTTATACAGTGGCCATCTTGACATAGCAGAGTACCTTTTGACAGAAGGAGCCAATATTAACACGTGTGGTAAAGGTGGATGTACAGCACTACATGATGCATCACAAACTGGAAATATAGATGAAGTGAAATATCTAATCAGTCAAGGAGCAGAGCTGGATAGGAGTACCGACGATGGTAAGACCGCACTTAGTTTGGCTTCATTCAAGGGTCATCTTGATATCGTCAAATACCTTGTTTGTAAAGGGGCACAGCTTGACAAATGTGACAAAAAAGGCAGGACACCCTTGTCTTGTGCTTCTCAAAAAGGCCATTTTAAAGTCGTCAAGTATATCGTGAGCAAAGGAGCAGACATTACAAATGGTGATAAAGATGGGATAACAGCTCTTCATAGAGCATCATTCAAGGGTCATCTTGGTATTGTCAAATACCTTGTTAGTAAAGGGGCACAGCTTGACAAATGTGACAAAAACGACAGGACACCCTTGTTTTGTGCTTCTCAAAAAGGCCATCTCGAAGTCGTCCAGTATATCGTTAACAAAGGAGCAGGTATCGAAATTGGTGATAAATATGGGATAACTGCTCTTCACATAGCTTCACTCAAGGGTCATCTTGCTATTGTCAAATACCTTGTTAGGAAAGGTGCTGACCCGGGAAAACTTGCTAATGAAGAGGACCACTATGACTACCTTCGCAGTATTTTTGGTAGTGGGGCTTTACCTAGCTATATGCCCCCATACTCCCGAACATACGATCCATATCTTACCAGTCCACAAGACATCTCTCGCTCCTCGAGGAAGAGCATCAGAGAAGAGACAATGATTATAAGTCTCGACGAGTACAGCATCAAGGTTTTACTTTCACCAGAAGATGTGGACAGAGCCAAATATATCACAGCAGAAGCATTGACAACCGTTCCACATGACTTAAACCTGGAAAAAGACGAAGTTATCATCTCAGTTGGGCTCAAGCTATCCCCTCCTGGTCTTCAGTTTAAAACTCCGGTGGAAGTCACGGTCTCACATAGCGCTATTTTCACCAACCCAGACAAGGCAGAAATTATGCTATACACCCGAAGGACTGGTAAGATCTTCCTATTACCATATATCCAATATTTCGATATAAATTCCTTCCGTTTCTTTTATTTCTCTCTCTTTGTCTAATCTTCTTTAATTCGCTCTTAGATTAATATTGAATTGAAGGCGTATCGATATACATAAGACAAGCGTATGCTAAAAGTTGCCTTCTTCTTTGTATAAAAAAAACTGTTGAGATGTGGTAGTCTTGTGGATACTTCACCGGACTGCAGATCACAGAATTCATGTTCACGCGGCAGTCTCTGTAACAGGTCCATATCTACCACTGATTATTGTCGGTAATCAAACTTTGACCTGAACTTTCAAAGTGTGAGAGGTATCGCGATAAAATGATCTAGTGTACATTTCTCATTGTATTCAAATAAATAGGCGTTGACTGATTAAATTTAAGTGTATTCAATCAGTTAATGTTTTTTGGTCAAACAAAAGAAAAACGGAAGGGAAAGGGAAAATATGTTGTGGCAGTGTAAAGAGCCCCCTGACTGCCACGACAAACACACAGCAATTATGACAGAGATCTTCACACAAAATTAATCCTTCCTATACTATTCTTGGTATCATAATGACCTCACTTCAATGTTGATGTTCCTCTCAGAATGTTCTAATTCACTGAGTTTTACGTGATAATCATCTATTAGAATAGAAATTCGCTTTAAAAAAAAAGTTTCAGTCTTTGTGTTTGAATGACTTATAAGTCGCACAGTTCATACAGCCGCCATTTTCAAGATTCTTGTGGAAAGATCGAGGGGGATTATGAGAATGATTTAATGCATAAAACATTTTTAATAGCCAATCACCAAAAAGCAATTGACATGTTTTTACGTCATTGATCGTGAGTAAACAATGACCGTCCAACAAGGCTCCCCAGTAAACCCGCAAAACTTGCAGAAAAATACTTGCTTTCTTTAATTGTGAAAGAAAATCCAAGAGTATGACAGTTCACTGCGTAACAAAATTAACACGGTCCCTTATTTTTTTTTTTTTTTTTGGACAGAGTCTGATGAATTTGCAAGGATAGTTCCTGCTTCTGACAAAGCTGCCCGGTGTGTAGTCGCAAATAATCACCTTACTCTGTACTTAGACCATTTCTCGGAATGGTGGATTATCTCCTTAATCAGGAGATACTTCATCGGTAAACGGCTCATCTGTACGCCATACGTTCCCCTGTCAACATCCAGAGACGTCATGAACTACATCTTGCTCAATATTAAAGACGACATCTGCGGCATGAAAGAGGTAGATTTATCATGAATTAACAGTTCGGTATATTTATGGCGCCTGTTATGGGTATTAATCTTCTTTTTTTCTTCATTCAATTTCGCTTCAGAACTTCCTAATCTTGCACATAATAATAATTAAAAAAAAAGACATTTTGATAGCGCGACATATCCACCCAGAGGGTGCTCAAGGCGCTTACAATGATCGAGCTACATAATATACTTAAATACAATTTTACCTACAATACATTACACATTACACATAAAAAAAGGAAGAAGATGATATTAGTTAAAGTTGGCCATTAGATAAGTTTTCAGGCTGGCCTTGAAACTATCTACTGATTTACAGTCCTTAAGTGTGTTAGGGAGACTGTTCCACAATCGGGGAGCTGCTGAGGCAAATGTTCGGTCTCCCCATGATCGTCTGGTCTTAGGGATGATCAGAGTTGATGTATTGGCAGAACGCAGACCAGAACGACCAGGCTTGCGAAAGTTGAGTAGAGAAGAGATGTACTGTGGCGAGGAGAACTTCAAGGCACGGTATGTGATCAGAAGGATTTTGTAGGTGAGACGATGTTCAACAGGAAGCCAAAGCAGGGATTTAAGGACTGGAGTGATGTGGGCAAACTTGCGTGTATATGTCACGAGACGGGCAGCAGCATTCTGAACAAGCTGGAGCCTGTTAACTTGAGACATAGGGATGCCATAGAGTAAAGAGTTACAACAATCGATGTGGGATGTAACAAATGCATGCACAAGCTGCTCAGCCGCCTTTGTGGTGAGATACTTGCGAATAGCACGGAGATTGCGGAGACTGTGGATCGCAAGTTTAACACTTGGTGATACTTGCGACTCCATGGTCATATTGGAGTCAAAAATAACTCCAAGATTTCGAACTTTCTTCACTGGAGTAATTGATGAAGAACCAATATTCAGATAGGGGGTTACCGACTTGGCGAGTTGCTGCTTGGAACCCAGCATAACAACCTGAGATTTGTCGTCATTGAGCTTCAAGTAATTCTCCTTCATCCAATTCCTAATGTCACTTATACAGGCTTCAACACGAGCAATCCAGGCATCAACTTCCCCTTGTGTGGGAGAACACGAAAAGTATATCTGCGTGTCATCAGCATACATATGGTGCTTGAGATTATGCCTCTTGATGATATCATGAAGGGGAAGAGTGTAAATGTTGAAGAGTTGTGGCCCAAGTACCGATCCCTGGGGCACAGAGAAGCCAAGATGAACTGTCTTAGAGACAGCACTGCGTACACAAACCCTTTGCGATCTGTTTGAGAGATAAGATGTTAACCACTGGTGAGCCTGTCCACCAATGCCCATAGACTGAAGTCTCTCTAGGAGTATAACATGGTCGACCGTGTCAAATGCACTACTCAGATCGAGCAGAATTAGCCCAGTTACTTTTCCACTATCCATTTCGGTGAGGATATCATTTTGCACTCGTAAGAAGGCAGTCTCAACACTGTGTTTTTCTCTGTAGGCTGATTGGAAGTTGTTTTGAAGGTTATTGTCATTCTTGGTCATTCATTTTCGGTCTTTATCGAATTCATCATTTTGCTTCCAATTTCGTCTAAGCCAAATCACAAAAACAACAAATATTGAAAAATCACAGATATAATAATTTCGAACCAAATAAACGTTTTACATATTGAAGTAATTAATCAGTTCGAGATTCATACAAAATTCATCACCTATTTTTGTGGAGGTGTCGTGGTATATTCGTTCATTCACTTGACTCTGAATCCAAGGGTTGAGGGTTCGAATGCCAGCCCGGCGCTAACGTTTACGTTCATTGCCTTACTTGACTTACTTGACTTAGATGCATAGGGCGGTGTGCCCCCTCCCCTCGCTCCCCTACGAGAAATCATGCTCCAGTCTGATCTGTCCTGGGCTCGTCGCTCTGCCTCTTGTGTGGGTAATCCCACATCGCATTGAACCTGGTCCTTCCATCTCCTTGGAGGGCGTCCCCGTGTTCTGCGTCCATTAAAGTCATTCTGGAATGCTTGGTATGATAGGCGATGATGCGGCATGCGTAAAACATGGCCAAACCATTTCAAGCGACGTTTGGTTATTTCCTCGCATATGGTGCTTGGGACATTCAGTCTCTGCCTGATCTCCTCGTTCCTTATCTTGTCCATTAGGTGAATTCCAAGGATGGTCCGGTACCTCAAGTACCTCAAGCTTATTTCTATCCGACATTCGGAGAGTCCAGGATACTGCTCCATATGTGGCAATAGGGAAGATAAGTGCTCTGTATATCCTGACTTTGAGTCTCCTAGAAATATCTTGGTTGGACCAGATGGCACTTTTCAGTCTTCCGAATTCCCAAGCAGCCAGTCTTGTACGTCTCTTCACGTCCTCTTCTATGGAAGGAACTGTGCTGCCGAGAAAGACAAAATTTTCCACTTTCTCAATGTTGGTGTTGTTAAGTGAAATATCTTGTTGATCCTCTGTCATGACTTTGCATTTTGTTGCATTGATTTTCATACCCCATCTTCTACATGCCTTCTGCAGTTCATTTGTTGAGATTTGGAGGTTTTCAAATATGAGTTCCATAAGGGTGGTGTCATCTGCATATCTGATGTTGTTGATACGCATGTCACCCATCTGTATTCCACTATTTAGTTGTTGGATGTCCTTCATCACATATTTCAGGAATAGGTTGAAGAGGCTTGGAGAGAGGAGGCAGCCTTGTCTTACCCCAGTTATGACGTCAAACCATTCAGTTATCTTTCCATTCACCATAACAGAGCATTTGGTTTGTTTGTAAGGACTTGTCCACTCCAATGGAACGTAGACATTTCCAGAGAGCTTCTCGCCATATGGTATCAAATGCTGCTTTAAAGATACAATGTCCCTTTTGCAGCCAACATCAAATTCTGTAGAACTTTGCAGATATTATGAATAGGTCATGTATGTCTTATCTGTGAAATTTAAACGTTAGCAGTGTCCTAATATTCAAATTATGCAAGGAAACCCGTTTACTTGCTAGACTTCGCTGTCAGATACTATTGAGTGACTGACAGTTTTTTTTCTTCTTTGGTTATAACATACATAAAATGAGCTGTACAGGGTACATCAGCATTTTGTCTACATCAATAACCCACTTCTTGTAATGACCAAAATTAAAGTGATTTAATCGTTGCGAAGCATAAAACGTACGATCATTCGGGACAATGGTCTGAAAATCAAGACTATTACTTATTGGCTCTATAGCTCTTAAGTCGATTCGACAGCTAATAGTTGTACAGAAAGTGCGACCCAGAGAGCACTGATCCGCTTCGTTCGTAGAACGAGGCGTTTTGAGTGTTCCTACTATTTTTTTTTTTTGCACATATCGCACGACAACCAAATGCTCTAAAATGTTGATACCTACTTTGATAGAAAAATAAGGTTTTACAAAAAAAGGAAAAATACTAGAAGAGAAAAGGAAAGAAAGAGTAAAGACGGATTGAGGACGGTAAATCCCAAACAAGAGACTCTGAAGATCTGCCCCAGAATCCTCTCACCGGCACCAGAGTTGCCTAGGCCAATGATGGCCGAGAAGATTGCGCAATGTACCGTGCCGGTCTGGCAGGAAGGTGCCAATTGCGGTGAGGGGTTTTTCATGGACCAGTAGATCTGCGATTATATTATCAAAAAAAAAGAAAAAAGAGAAGAGTACGAATTTACAAATAGTAAAAAAAAAAAAGTGAAAGGCGTAAATATTCTAAAAAAGAATGAAACGCCGATAATACCAAACAACAACAACAATAGTCGTTATTGTCCAACTTAACGACATTTTCAAGCCCCCTTTTTTTAGGGAAGTTCTAACTTAGTATTATCTTTCAAATGCCGTTGGAACTTAACCTTTTCATTTTTTGTTTGCCTTCAAATGGGACATAGTACCTTTAAAGTCAACAAAGTTCAAGTGGATTGGTATTCTTCTTTCTCTGGCCTTTTCGATGATTTGTCTAACGACAAACACAGCATCTGTGGTGCCCCTACAACTTCTGAATCCACATTGTTCCTCAGTCAGATGATTCTCGATAGTTCCCTGTATTCTCATGAGGACCATTCTACAGAAAACTTTCCCGGGTATGGAGAGTAGAGTTATAGCTCTGTTGGATGGATCCAGCTTGTCTCCTTTCTTAAATACTGGAGTGATAAGACCCTTGCTCCAGTCTTCCGGGGTTACACCTTCCGACCATGCTGCAGTTATTATTTTGAGCAGGAGTTGTCTCATTGGTTTTCCACCAGCCTTTCAAGTTTCGGCAGCTATTTTGTCCCACCCGCAGGCCTTGTAGTTCTTCAATAGTTTTATTGCCGTCTCTACTTCTTTAATTGTGAAAGGTTCACTTGGGTTATCTGTAGGTTGTGGGTCAGGTATGGTCAGAAGAGCATTTTCGTCCCTTGGAAATTGCGTGTTAAGGTGAACGCTAAAATGTACTCCCCAGCATTTCAACACGTCTGCAGGAGCAGTCTTTAAGATGCCGTCCTTGTTCTTCACGGCAGGTTGCATTTTGTCTCTCTCACCAGATAGTTTCTTCACCTTCTTGAAGAGCTCATGGCTGTTGTTCGTTGCGTGAGCTAATTCCATCTCTTCCACCTCCGTGTCAAGAATTTTCTTCTTCCACTTCCTCACCTCATACTTACCTCATACTGCTTTATTGAGTTTTAAGTAGATTTTCTTGTTGCAGGCCGAGGGATTATTCATCATGAGGATTCTGGCTTTCCTCCTTTGTTCACAGGCCTTACAAACCTCCTCTGGGAGACCTTTAACTTGTCTCGACCTTTTGAAGCCTACAATTTCCTCTGAGATATTATTGGTTGTATCTCTGAATTTCTTCCACAGCTCATCCACATCTGTGTCCGGGAGCTGATCTAGTGGTTCAAAGGCACCTCCAATCCTGGCTTTGAATGCTTATACAATGTTAGAGTCATTAAATCTGCCCAAATCATAGCTTTTCGGGAGGCTCTTCATTCGCTTGGTCTTTGTGGGTGAGAACTTCACATTAGCCAATACTAGATTGT